TGGGTGGGCGAAAGCAAAGTAGGAATTAATTTTCCTTTGTAAAATTGTGCAAGCGTTGTCAATGTGAAGAAGATTAAAGAGCTAGGTGAGCTTCGGAAGGCGCCATTATCTGTGACAGTAACTACCGGCCTAATTAGAATTCTCTGTCTGTGAGCGTGGCCGATTCCCCCCCGCTTTTAATCACATTTATAGTGATAAATCAATATTGCCCTAAATGGTGCTTTTAACGGCTCAATGTAATGGGACCGCTCAGCACCGATCAAGTCGTCCCTGGGATGGGCGAGGGATCGTTTTCAGAGCAGTGACATTTTGAAACGTCTGTTTAGTATGCGGTGTCTCTCTCTCCCCCCCCCCCGGCTTGTAATTATGATTCCTCTCCCCTCGGACGCAGTTGTCTGCCTTCTTCTTTGTGGTCTCCCCCATTGTTCTCTGTGAGGAGCTGGTGTGCTTTGTATTAATTCTTCACACACATATTGTATGTAAGCTGGGGAGGGAGCAACGTAGAGGGCAGGATGGATGCGGGTTTTGGAGCCCAGGTTTGTGGTTTCTGGGCTCCCAACCCCCCCAAGTCTTGAGAAGAACTGTAAACCAAGAAACTACGCCACCCAAATCAATAGTGGGAGATTCTGGTGTGAAATGAAGGGCACCCCATTTCTTTCTGCCTGGCTCTGTTCTGGGAAATGTTCCCCTTTTTGGCTTCCTTAACCCAGACATCCGATGCATTCCAAAGCAGTTCAGGAATGATTCTAGATTGGTGAAGTGTCCCAGCAGGATTGAAATGATGATGCACTGTAAAATGTTCCTAGGTTCTCTAGGCTTTGCATGTTTAAACACCTGTAAACTTATACATTTGAGGAAAAAAGGGTGTGTGTGTTTCTGTCATGGTGGATCCTGGGTGCTTTGACAGTGGGAAGCCTGTAATACATAAAATACCCGAGACGGAGAAGGATTGTTCTAAGGAATCCCAGAGCATCTTATCTGAAAGTCCTTGGATGAAACAATGTCTGCATCCCATCTTCCTTTTAATGTCTGACTTCTTTTTGGGACATTTCAACGTGGCGCTGACCTTGCATTTAGTCAATCTGTTGCACCAGTGCAACTATTATCAGTGGCCCCTTTCCTGCAGCCTTCTTTAAGCGACCCCACCCAAGTCCAATTAAAAATGTCAATGTTGGGGCATCCTAGTGATTCTTGCGCCTGACCTTTCGATGCATGATGATGTTTATGTCTGTGTTTGTTCTTTGTTCTTGTGTTCTTTCCCTGCAGCTGTTTGCTTAGAAATGATTGTCGTGTAAGGCATTGACGATGGCGAACAGGAAATGTCAAAGCGCTGCAGCGGGCATGCTGGATCACCGCGCAAGAGTGTGTCCTGCTTCCTCTCTTGGCAGGGAGATGGAAAAAGAGGAAGATGATCTGCCGAAGGATGACTACGAGGAGAAGGAGACGGATGTGATGCCCATCAGACCGGGTAGCCCTACCCCGCCGGAGCACGAGCGCAACGATAACAGCGGCGATGGAGACTCGAGTTCTGATTATGTCAACAACACCTCGGAAGAGGAAGAGGAGGAGGATTATGATGAAGGTCTCCCCGAGGAAGAAGAGGGTGTTACCTACTACATCCGGTATTGCCCGGAGGATGACAGTTATCTGGAAGGGATGGAGTGCAATGGGGAGGACTATGTGCCCCATGAACAGCTTCAGGTGGAGACGGATGAGTGCCAAGAAGCCATTGAGGAAGGGGAATGGGCGGAAACAAAAAATCAGCACCAAGGAGAGCGGGAAGCGACGGAAGCAGCAGGCTACCATGATGGTTGTGTCCAGATCTTAGAAGGCGAGGTGGCCTGCTTGGAAATCCAAGACCAAGAGGAGCACATCCAGTATTGCCATCAAAACGAGGAAGGCTACCAGGGCTACTACTCCCCAGAAACCAACGGCAACTCACATGGGATGTCCCCTTACCACTCTGGGAAAGAAGAGGCGGAGTTAGAAGAGCAGGAAGAAGACATTGACCAGATCGTAGCAGAGATTAAAATGAGCATGAGCATGAGTAGTATCAACAGCGCCTCCGAAATGAGCCCAGAGCATGCCGGGACTGAAAACATGCCCAATGACTATGTAGAGGCGTGCCATAAGGGAGACTCTGGGCATGGTGCCAGCAGGCATCTGGGGAGGCCGAAGTCGCTCAACATCCCCCCTGCATCCAAGCAAGTTGGGGACGCCCCCAGAGGCTTCAAGACCAAGTCGAGGACTCCAGAGGAAAGGCAGACGTGGCCACAGGAACAGGTAAGCTCTCGTCTCATCTTTGACCGGAAGGGCACCAAATCTGCCACAGTCGCATCCTATGCCTCTGTGAGTCTGTCTTGCCTTCTAGTTGCACCTCTTGAATACCTCTGCCGGTGTAGGTGGGGAAATTATCATTGGGAAGCTGTGGAACAGGGTGGAACAGGAAAACCCATGTGGTCGTTGTGCACAATCCAAAAGCAAGCGAGGGTGGGTGTCACCTTTATCTGACCAGTCCAATATCACAAACGTAAACTAGCTTTCACCCTTGTACATCTTCATCAAGCTGTGGTAAAGGTATTACCCATCCTTGTCACTCGAAAGCTGAGAGAGGGATGTGGGTAACGGACTATGAAGGGAGTGTTTGCATTCCTGTTACTCGTTCCTCAGTTCACAAGGCACCTCATTGCTGAGTCACTTCCTATGGTAAAGTGGGTGAGGCCACTTCGGCTTGCAGGGAGCAGATGCGATTTCCAGCATTTCTTTCCCCAATAAATCCCTCCTTCCCTCATTCAACGCAATCCGATTTCTAGCAGGTCAGCTTATTTTGTTTTCATTTAGCTTTGCAGGGCTCTTATTAAATGTAAGAGAGGAGTCAAGAATGTGAGAACACCTTCGCCTACGGGCTGAAGCAGGAAGAGCTCTTTCCTTCATTTATTGGGTTCCTTCATTCTGCCATTTTGTTTCCTCTGGCTTTTGCATCAGCCAGGATGCTCAGAATGAAGCAGGAGACTGCGTGGGGAACCCGTGCACTGCACAGTTGGAGACATTTGATGCCACTTTAAAATCCTGTGGCCCCATCCCTGTAGGATCTTTTGAGTTGTCATTTGATGAGGTCCTTCCTTGGAGCTCTGGTGCATTCTCCTGAGTTATCGCTGAGGATGATGGGCGCCTCATCAAGCTACAAAACCTGGCATTGTGTTAGATGGAATTAGGTCAATTAAAGTGCAATGGAAATGCTTGTAAACAAAGAGACATACAGCCTACAGTTAGTTATACGTACGTACCTCTAATGGTGCCTACATACCAATACAGTAATACCCTGCTGAGCGCTCAGGATTTCCCCCCAAAAATAGAATGCTAACTGAATTGACTCTAAACAGAATCCCTTTGACACTCTACCGCATGCTGCAAAATCTGGGGACTTGTTCTACCTGTGCTATGGAGCAGGTAGCCCAGGACTCATAGGCTCAGCTTACCTCTGGTGCAGAGCAGGTAGACCAGGCTCCACGTCTCCCTGGGAGACCCAATCTACCTTAAGCACAGAGCAGGAATGCTAGGGCCTTGGTCTCCCAGACGTGCCATCTATTCCATTTAGGTAGACCAAGCTCCCTTTGAGGACCATAAAACAGCTTCCCGAGCATGAGCGTTATAGTGAATCAGCGCTATACAGGACCGCTTTGTGCAGGTATGACTGTACGTGCAGTCTATGCAAAGGCAAGCGCTACTCCGTTCAGTGGGATATTGAGGCTGTGCAAGATTGCAGCCTGACGGAGCATAGCTGAATGTAAAAATCAATGAACTAAATTTCTCATTTTGTTTGTCAATAAGAATTTACAGATTTTTTTAAAAAAAGCTTTGATTGCATGTTGATGCCTTTTATTTCCACTTGACATTCTGCCCAGCAGAGGCAAAAAATTTCCACTCTTTGCCTAACAGTGACTCATCTTGAATTCTGGGAAGGCAGAAAAATATGCAGACTCTACGGGAGAGAGTATAGCTGGCTGGATAGCTCGGTGGTATAGATATCTGAAGTTGGGAGTTTGATTCCCCACCAGGCCTCCCTGACATGGGCTGTGTTCGATGCTCCACAGGGTCTGCCTTTCTCTTAGCCTGGTTTGTACGTGCAACCACCCTTTCTGTATCTGGTTAAGTGTTTTTCTCCAGACTTGGGCAGGGAAGTATTCGTTACCTCTTTGCACCATTAATTACAGCAAGGCAGTTTCTGCCTTGCGGGAGTGCGAGCTGAAGAGCACACCAAGCAATGTGGGTGTAAAATAAGCCCCAGTGCTCATAGCAGCCCCGATACCTTAGTAAGGCAAGGACTAGTAGCTGTTGTAGAAGGTGAATGTATTTCGGATTTTAGTCCAAACTTTACAAGAGCTGTTGAGATGTTGAAGTAGATCCAGTGCCCTGTGTAGCTCTGATAAAGCCCTAGTAGATGACACACAGCGCAGGCAAGAATCGCATCCGATGAATCAGGCGAGAGTCGTAGCAAAGAGAGGTGTGGCTAGAGTCGACTGTTGTGGGTTGTGCTGCAACAGAACAAATACATTTTGCATGCAGGGTATCACAACCATGGCCAGATTCACCACGGTGTTTGTGATCTGCATTGGAAGGTTTTCCCTGGTTTCTTCCAATATATATATATTTTTTTGCACATTGGAAATGATAAATTTCTCCCTGAGGGCCGAGAGAAGAATTTACTCTGATGAATAGTCCCCGCACAGGGAGCTTAATTTATCCTGGAGGTGCTTTACCCACAGAACCCAGTGTCAAACTCAGATAAAAATAATCAGATTCCCCCCCCCAAGTGCTGATACTGCCTTGAAGGGTAAAAACTGAGCCTGACTAAATATTTCCAATTAAGCTTCGTAATCAATACATCAAAATGTGGCTAATGTTCAGTATCAAGTAAAAGGCCAGATATTGTTGAAGAAATATTATGAAATACTGTATTCAAGTGTATTTTTAGACTTTTACCATAGCCATAAATACTTTAAACTAATCACTGGTCAGCGTGGCATAGATTGTGCAGTTTGCCAGCTGCCCACACCTGTTCTCCGGATTGCAACGGTATTTTGATTTCTGTAGAGGGATCTGTCAGTTTATTAGGCATGTTGAGTTAGTAAATCATCTCTCTATTTTTTAAAATATAAATATAAACAAACGTGCATGCCGTCAAACGAGGCACCCCTTTTTTTTTGATGGATAACAGAAGAGATCCTAGTGAGGTGCTGGCTTGTTAAATTGTCCCACTTTCTAAAGAAAAAGAAACGTTTAATCATTTACTCCAATTTTTAAGTAGCAGCAGATTAGCAAGGCTTAGGAAAACAATATGACTTTAGTCCTTTCAGGGCATTGTGGAAAATCAGATTGCTAACCTATACATTTGGTAGAGTGTCTATGCTGACCTGATTGTCAAAATCTGCTAGGGAGCCCTTTCTGTGTGTCGCTTCGTCAGAACTGTGTGAACTTGTGGGAGAGAGCTTTTTCTACGGTGCACTATATTTGCATAGCGCTGCAGGTTAAACCGCAGAAGCCTCTGTGCTGCCAAGGTTGGAAGACCAGGCGTCCGTAAGATCGAATCTCCGCGACGGAGGGAGCTCCCGTCGCTTGTCCCAGCTCCTGCCAACCTAGTCATTCGAAAGCATGTAAAAATGCGAGTCGATAAATAGGTACCACCACAGTGGGAAAGTCATGGCATTCCGTGTCTAGTCGCGCTGGCCACATGACCACGGAAACTGTCTTCGGACAAATGCAGGCTCTACGGCTTGGAAACGGGGATGAGCACCGCCCCTAGAGTCGGACACGACTGGACTCGATGTCACGGGGAACCTTTACCTTTACATTCCCCTTGGAAGCCTGCCGGGCTCCACCTTTACTGTTCTTCTGAACATTTGGCATCTACTGAAACAACAGCTTGGGCTCTTCCTGGGAACCTTTACCTTTACCTTCCCCTTGGAAGCCTGCTGGGTTCCACCTTTATTGTTCTTCTGAACATTTGACACCTACTGAAACAACGGCTTGGCCTCTTCGGTCTTCCAGTTTGCTGGTTTTTAAAACTGCATTGTGAAATTGCATTAAACTATTTTTGAAACGATCAAATCATTTGCGATTTTACCCACTTTGTCTTTCTCTCTCTCCCTGAGAGCTATTGATATAGGACAGGTAAGAAATCGATAGATTTCACCAGCATGGAACCCTGTTGTGGCCTAAGTGTGTGATCACCACAGGGAAAGAGATTGCAATGTAGACAACTTGTGGAGCGATTCGGTGCAGTTTATTTTCTGGGGATAACACAATGGACAGGGGAATGTGCTCCAGTCCAATCTCAGTCCATGGCCTAACCCTGGACCTACGTTTGGGGGTCAGCCTGGAGCAGTTCCCCAGCAGACCGAAGGATCGTTTTAAGGGAGATCATTCCCGTTAATTGCAACCATTTCCAAGGGTGATCAGGTGCATACTTTTGCAGCTCTTTGATCAATAACCTACCACTACTATGTGCTACAAACTGTATAAACAGAAGACCTGTCAAAGAATTTGGAAAAAAAAGCGCGGGAAAACTGTTTCTGTGATTTAAACAAAGAGTACAGAAACAATGCTGTAAAATACTCGAAAATAGTAAAGCAGATGCTAAAAGAGTAAAAGGGTGGACTAAGAATGAGATAGAATTGAGGATGAGCAGAGCACCTGTTTCAAAAGGTCAAGTAAATCTATAGCATAGAATAGAATGTTTAGTATAAAATGTAGAGTATGCGTCACGTATACAATGTTGGGAGCTCTTGGTATGCAGGAATTGTACGTAGTTCCAGTTTTCATTATTTTTCCTTTTTATATCTTAAAACTAAAATGTTTAAAATGTAAAAAAAAAAAACCCACCTTATCGCTATGAATTAAAATGAATGTTTTGGTGGATAAATCTGCCCGAATGGACAGCACAGTGCTGGAATTTTATTGGGCTGGCGCGCATCCCATTTTCCTTGTTGGTGTGGACCTCAGGGGATGGATGTCCTGTAACCTCTGTTCCAGGTGTGCTGATAGGGTTGAGGAAGGTGTGTGCAGCTGGTCCCAGACAGTAGCTGGCACCTGTGAAGCACCTGTTCATTTTGGAGATCTCCCTAAAAGGTAGCTTCTCCCTGCTGAGCTTTTGGGGGCTTGGGGTTTGGCAGTTGCAAGCCCTGGGGGCACATTCGCCAAGGATCTCAGCTCCTCTTGAGGTGCTCAGGCCTGGTGCCAGCTTTTGCTGACAGCACTGGCATCCGCCTCTTGAGTTTGTCCCCAGGCCCTTTTCAGATTCTCGGTCCTTGATATGTGTTTGGCTTGTTGCTATTTCCCAGGTTGTGTTTCTTGTGTCATATTATTTGGGGTTCTTAATGCTACCAGCAGATTAATGAGTTTTGGTTGATATTTTGGCATTCATTCACTTATACTGATATCGAATCTACGAAGGATTCACAAATGCACCCTTTTCCTTAACCTTTTCTAGAGGTGGACTGTGGCAATCAAGAAAAGGCTTTCTTTGTTCAGTGACTTGTGTTTGTGTTGTTTAATTGCGCTGCCTTCCAGAGCTGTTGTATTGGTGTATACATCACAGCCTACATATTGTTATGAACATTTCATAGTCCCTGTAAAGTATAAATGCATAGCAAAAGCCCGCAGTTCTCCAAAGGGGGCTGTATTCGTAACCACCTAAGAGCAATCTGATGGCATCAGGAGGGATATCTGTCTGGTCCCACATCCTGTGTTCCTCGGTGGCCAACCAGATATTTTGGAAGCACCACAAACAGCCTGTGAAAAAAGGCAGTAACAACCTCCCAGGGCTTGGACTCCTGAGCCATATTGCAAGGCAGAAAAAGCACATCCCAGAGGCTCCTTAAACCCCATCTTCCTTCACCCAACATTGAAAAGGGTAAAAAATATATATATCATTTTCTCATCCTAGAAGCCTCCAGGACCAGCATTTTTGCTATAAAATGGGTTGCAAGGTCCTACGAAAAGTCATCAGACCAAAACAATTATATCCACGTCAAAAGGAGAACTCACAAAACCGAAAGTGGCTTTTTCAGCCTCCCCGCACCATTTTCCCCATATTTTGTGGGGACTAGAGCATCTTTAAGACAGGAAATTTGTCCCCAAATTTGGTCAATGGCTCCCCCCAAGACATTGTGTGAAAAAGATAGGAGCTGTCTTTTGCCGTTCGCTGAATTATAGCTAGTCAGGGAAGCCACCTGCTTGTTTACCATGTCTGAAACATCTAAGTCAATCTGCTGTTACTCTAAATCAATTTGCATAAAATGTGTGTATATTTGGTCTTTGGATGCATGTCTTGTACCATCCAATGAGTTGTAATCAGATCGGGCAGAGCTTTTTTTCTAGTCGTTTGGCCAAAGAGGTCCCTTCCCGTTGCTTCCTACACATGATTCTAGAGATGTTGAGAGTTCAGCTTGGGACCTTTGGCTTGCAAAACATGGTCATGAAGTTCCTCTCCTCTTTTAAAGCTGTCTTGACATAACACACCTAGATGTAGAATTTTCAAAGCTCACAAGATCCATCTCCAGGGAGAGAGAGCAAGACAAGAAGCTCTCCATTTTTAAGCCAATAAAAACATTCCTGTGGTTATGAAGCTCCCAGTCTCCAATTCCCCTTGGGATTTCTTTGCACCTTCCCTAGGGAGACCACAATCACCCCTTATGGGGAAAAAAACCCCAAAACCCTTGTCATTAGTCAGCCCTAGACAGAGTCAAACTCAGTAATATTCTGCTCCAGAAGTTTTGCGCTGAAGTGTCTCTCTGGAGTTGTGATCTAGGTGTATAGGATTGGTTACTAAGATTTCAGGACCGTGGACAGAGCCCCATAGCTATTGGACTCCAAATTAAGGCCAGTAAGAATGCAGGTTATCAAAGTGCTGCAGCCCACCCACAGTTTATGCCAAGTAAAACTTAGCAGTTTTCAAGATGCTACAAAACTCTTTGAATGTTTTTACATCCTCCTCCTTAATTACATTTTTGGCACTGTTACGAGTCTTTGCTTAGGGAGGGTTTAAGGCTACAGAAGCTGTAAGCCTTCCATGTATGGTACAGGAGAAGCCTTGAATCTCCCTATGTCCGTCAAGCCATCATGCAAAATGAGCCATTCTATGGCTGTGGGTGTTCGTCCAACCTTTCTCTCTCTTTTGATGGCTAAAAATTCATTTGCTGGAGTCTTTTTCCACATAGTTATATGTAAGGAGCACCCTCCACTTTCCAGCACCTTTAGCAAGTGGCGGAGGAGTAGGGGTGGCAGGCACGTGATCTCCCCCTGCCCACACACACCCCAAATTAGTGACTGTAAAACCATGTGAACCCCTTCAGTATCTAGCATTCAAATCCAGACCAAAGACTAGGATTTAAGAGTAGTGCAAATTGCTAATCGATACCAATGCTTGGGGAGGGCATCTTTCAGTGTGTGTACTCATCTGTGCTCACAAACAGTCAGTGTCTAAATCAACTCTTTTTTTCTACCACCTGGGAGAACAATAAATACCATGAACGAGATGCAGTGATAAACAATAGTTATTGATCTGCCTACCCCTCCCCTTAAGCTATTGATTATGACGGCATCCCTTTCTACTTCCCTATGCAGGTGTGCAATGGGTTGGAACAGCCCCGGAAGCAGCAGCGTTCGGATCTTAATGGACCAATTGACAACAACAACATCCCAGAGGCAAGTATTGGAGCCCAGCCTGCTTTCTGATGTTTTTCCCCCCTCTTCTTCTCAGCTTTTCTCCAACCCGTAGCTCACCAGGGCACTTTATTCTGAAGGAATAAGTCAGAGTGTTCACAAAGGATCATTATTTTTTAACCATTTGTTTCCAAAAATTATATCCTGCTATAGATTATCGTCATCACCACCTTAGAATTGCAGAACTGGAAGGGTACCCTATGGATCATTGAGGATAGATCTTATCAGGGAGGCCCAATGGGGGAATCAAACTTCCAAACTCCGTCTCCACTCCAGAGACCTAAACCACTAAGCTATCCAGAAATTCAACTGGGTGATTGGCAAATTCAGGAGCCTCCAGCTCTCCAATTGAGTCTAGCTTTCCGAGCGTCTATAAATGAGCCGGCCCCTTCCCCCAGATCACCATCGCCTATACAGCTTTCTTCCCGTTGCAAAGAACTGGAATGCCTCTTCTATGCCTTTGTTACTGTCCGTGAACGCTTTAACCCAAATGTGCTCATATTTTTAACCCTACTCTTTTGGGTTAACCACTCTGTACTGTGTCTAATCCTGGGCAGTACAGTTTAAAGAGGATATTGACCCATTGGGACACGTGTTGAAGAGAGCAGCCAAGAACTGAAGGGGTCTTCAGCTCTGAGGAACAGTTGAAGGAGATACGCCTGGTTGGACCGAAGAAGAGAAGAGGAAAAAGTGATAAGATAGCCATCTTCTGATGTCTGAAAGGGACTATACAAGCCTTTTTTTTTGCTGCTGCTGCTCCAGAGAGTAGGAATAAATGGCTTCACATTTTCAAGACAGATGATCTGGTGAAAAATGAGGGGGAAGCTTCCCAATAGTAAAAGCTGCTTGACACTAGAATGGACCATTTTATTATTTTTATTTATTTTATTTATATCTCACTTATCTGGTCAGTTACAACCACATAAAATACACAGATAAATATAAAAAGAATTATTACATAATAGACAGATTCAACAAGATGGAAAGCGAACAACAGAAGAAGAGAGGAAAGGAAAACGTCAGGAATTAACTGGAGGGAAGGCCTGCTGAAACATCCACCAGCTTAGAAGATGGTGGATTCTCAGAAGGTTGGATGGCCGTCTATTGGAGATGCTTTAGCTCTGGATTCCTACGTTGGCAAGGACTGGATGAGATTCAGTCCTTCTGCCTCTACATCTCTGTTATTCAGCTCAGCTGTCTATGGAGCTGTGGTACTGTATGAGGTGGCCTTGGGTCTCCTCTAAGTACTCAGTCCTACCATCACCATTCAGACCAGACAGACCCTTCCCGCCTAAAAAGCATGAGAAACAATACGTCCCGCCATTTCATTACCTTGATGCTGTTTTTCAAGGTCAGCTTCACCCGAGGAAATGCAGAACATGGTTAATCTGAGCTGTTAACAAAATGTAAAGGCTTGGATGTTTTCCCACTTAAAGGCCGTTAATTCAGAACTGACATTGGAAAAAATAGTCTTGCATTGATAGTATTTGGTTTGGGGTTTTTTTTTTTAGTAGCTGAAATTAAATTTCTCCCTCCCCCCCCCGCCCTCCTTCCACCCTTGGCTGGTGTTCGTTCCACACACTTTGTGCAATATTAATCAGGCGATTACTCCCTCGCCATCCTCTGAGCTAACTCTATCATTCATGCCGTTTTTGCTATCAAGCCCATTTGAGCAGAGAAGCCTTTAAAGGGTTAGCTCTTGAGGAATGACAGAGAGCCATTTTTATTCCTTGGGCATGAAAATAACCACAGCTCTGAATGAATGGTCAAGGATTTTTAAATGCAAGGGAGTTTTTAAAGTTGGCTGGTGCTGCTTTTCCTGTCTCCGGGTGAGATTAGACTTCTGTATGGGATTTATTTCCCAAAAGGAAACTTGGGGTTCTTTTAAAACAACTCTTAACGTTGAGAGGGTAATGGGGCTGTGTTCCATCAGCCACTGAGCTTGTGAGCGTAGACAGGTTGCCTGCAGGTTTGAGTTCACTGTGGGAAGAGGAGAGACATCTTAGATGCCTCCTGACTAAGAAGGAAGACTAAAATAGTCTTAATTTCCAGCTCTGTGGCTGAAATCCAGCAGTAAGTGGACCTTCTCTTGTTGTGACTTCATGAATTTTGGCCAGCGAGTCTTATGGGTAAACATCCTTTCCGTTGTCACTTCTCTCCTCCGTTATGTCTGAAGACGACAAGGACTTAAGCGCCAACCTGTGGCATCTTTTTGTCTTTAACCTGATCCTTTTAACGTCTTGTCTGATGAAGGCATAGTATTCTCCAAAGCTTGCATGCTATTTTTGAGGGTTTGCCTTTTGAGTGGTCTATTGAAGTCTTAGGATAGTTATCCCTAGCTTTTTGGGGGAAAAAAGTTTGTTAGTTCTGTTTGTATCCTGCTTTTTGTACAATTTCCGTACAATTTTCCACCATTCTGGAACACTAAAATGCCATAAAATAAACATCTTCAGCCAATAGACAAGCAGCAAAGAGAACGAAACTTTGAGAACTGGTCCAGTCATATAAGAACCACAGCTAAACATGCATAAATGTCCCATTAAAGTCAAGAGTTTGGGGGGGGAGAGAGAGAAACAGGCCCTGTTTAGTGTCACCTGCCTTTTATGTAAATAGTCATCTTTAGACCAGCTGTCCCAATGACATGCGAGGAAGATCTGTAGGAAGAGAGCTCCCATCATCCTCCACTCATCATTTTTCGGGTAAGGTTGATTAAAATATATTCGCCTGCTTTGCGCACAGCCAATTCTGTCTCTAACTCCAGGAAAAGACAAGGCTTAAGAATTTTAAAACCAAGCTTTACATCTGAGATGAGTGGGAAGAATATGTGAATTGCAAGCACAACGATGGAAGAAATGAGTTTAATGCAGAGATAAACGGCTGCTGTATTGAGCCATGTACCGATGGAAGGACAAAATAACATTTTAAAAAGAAAATATCCATGAAAACCAGGTGTTACTCTAACCAATTTTTACAAGATCAGTTTCACAGTAAAGTCAAGCCATGCTCAGTGATGGAGGGACGGGTTTTAAAAGGAGCACCTATCGTCACTCCATTTCCAAGTCCTGAATACAGTGTAGCTGCATAAAATTAGAAAATGGCGAAGAACTAGAAGCCATGGGGGGGGGGGTGGAGGATGGGGAGGAATGATCTGCTCTTTTTCTTACTATCCAAATGCTTTTATAATATATCTTGTCTGACATGACACTTTTTCCTACTGTTGCTGTATAGAGATCTACAGCTCCTTGTTTTTAATTCCCCTACAGACTAAGAAGGTGTCTTCCTTCCCCAGTTTTGTTGATGGTGAGTACACTTCCACCACCTTTCTGCTGTTGATAGCAGGGGTGGCAAACCTGGAGGGGGGGGGCAAGGGCCATTTTTTGAGGTTGGTCGGCTGCTGGAGGGGTTACATTCCCAAGAGGGGTGTGGCCAAAATACCATATTTTCCATGTATAAGACCATACTTTTGTTTAAAATCTTTAGACTAAAAATTGAGAGTCGTCTTATATACGGAAGTAAGCCGAGAAGAGAAACAAGTGGAGGGGAAAGCAGGGATCAAAGCGATCCTGCAGTGCTTTGATCCCTTTTCCCCCTACACTTGCTAATCCCCACTTAGATTTCTTAATTTTGGGTTAGAAAAGTGGGGGGTGTCTTATGCATGGGGGCATCTTATACACGGGAAAAATACGGTAGATCAGTAGGTAAGTGATATGCTGCCTCAGCTGCAGAAAAATGCACATTACGTAAGATAGTCTTTCTGCTCTGTAACACTTTATCTTATGGACATTATTTTCTAGCCAAGTTGCCTGTTGTCCTGCCGAATGATCATAATAACTGCGTGCCATCAAGTCAATTCTGACTTAGGGCGACCCTTTTTCAAGTTTTCCCAGGTAGAGAAGACTCAGGAGCAGTTTACCATCTTCCTTTCTTCTGGGGGCGCCCTGGGACTGTGCAGCTGGCCCAAGGCCACCCAGGCTGGCTCTTCTCCCGGGAGGGAATAGCAGTGGGGAAACTGAACTCCCAACCTCTGGCTCCACATCCAGCTTCTCTAACTCACTGAGCTATCCAGCCAGTTGCGTGATGACAAGCTGTCTTTGCTTTGCTTTGGTTTGTGTGCTCCTTTTCCTTTTGTGCAACGGACTGGGGCCAAAAAGCAAGAAAAGTCAATTGAGAATAGTTAATACGCCACTGGAGATCCTACCTTGAAAGGGATGGGCGGGGTAGGTGAACTTCTGTGTTTGTCCTGACTCCTAAAATACTGTACTTCAGTTCTACATGCTTGACTGTTTCATCCCAATTTAAACCTTTACAATGAACGGTGTATATCCTGAAGTGAACTGTGAATTGTTTTCCCCAGGACATCAGGAAGAAACAGTGTGTGTGTAATTTGAAGATGGAGTTTCTTTTTTTGCTTCCAGACATTATTTTCTTTGTAGCAGATAAAGAAAGTCTCTGAACATAAATCAGTTTTCGATGTCGCTGTGGGCTAAATAAACCAGCTTTAAAAAAAATACTCCCACTGCAAGGTATATTATCCAGGCCTATTTGCATGCTTACAGCAATCCCTTTGGCTCTGGAGCTTTTAATTATTGCTTTAATAACTGCTGCGGATGACTGGCCTAATGAAATTAAATTTATCTGTGTGATTGATCTTTGCTGAGAATCTTGTGGACAGCACAGGAGGCGAGGTCCGCTTAACGGTGTCTCTTTCGCCCTTTTCCGAGGCTGACCTTGGAAATGCTCTCTTATCTTTCATCCTGGCTGATCAAAGCCATCTCGTCCTGGAAAGATATGCAGGTGGGGGGGGGGACAGATGGCAGTGGCAGTCAGTTGCAAAAAACAAAAATTACCCCTGGACACTTAGGGGAGGGCATTAAAAGCAGGGGAAATCTATGCCTGAGATTCTGAAGAGCGATTGTCATTTGAAGTGGGCAGGACTGGGCAAAGCTTGGAAAGGTTACTTTTAGAAGGTGCAGGCAAGCTTTGCAAAGCTCAGTGGTTTAAGTATTCCCGTGGAGGCAGAGGTTGGGGGTTCGATTCCCCACTCTGCCTCCTTGGTTCGGCTGTACTTGATGATCCACGAGATCCCTTCCAGCTCTGTAGTTCTAAGATTGTTATCAACTGTTGGATAGCACAGTGGCTTAAGTCTCGGGCTGCTTTAGCCAGATGTTGGGACTTCGATTCCCCACTGGACCTCTTTGATAGGGGCTGGACTGGATGCATCCATGGGGTCCCTTCCAGCTCTGTCATTCTAAAATGATCTTAAAGGGTTAACAAGTTTTATCTGGGATAAGAGCCCATAGACTGCAGCTCATTTCTGCCAGATGCACAAAGTGTTATCTAAATGCTGCCTCCTTCCCCTGTTGTATTGGGAAGGCGATAATAAAGGATGCTGTTTTGTTGTTATCTTAAATGAGCTTGTTTAGGAAAGCATTGCTGGGAGGTGACAAAGGTATCGTAAGCCATCTGAGCAGGTTGACACACCTACAGTCATGAAACGTTGTGGTCCATGTGGGAATTTTGTAGTCCAGAAAACCTCCCCAGTCTCTGAGTCTGAATGGGCAAAAAGTCCGTTTTCCTTGAGGGCTGTCCAAACCCCTAAGAGGTGGATGTGTGACCACTGGGATCTCAGCGCAGCGGGTTCCCGATGAGTTTCCCGACATCATGAGCTAAAGGTGGCGGTTGCAACCTCCCTTTTCCCACCATCTCCTTTGAGAAGCAAAGCAAGGCGTAAGTTCAACACCTGTGCTGTGGGGGGGGCAGCCACAGAGGGAAATGGCTCTTAACAGCTGGTCCTGAGCCTAAACTAAGGAGCCTGAGGAGTTGGAGGCCAATCCAATTCCCTTCCCAGGAAGTGAAAAGATCAAGGAGGAGCAAAGGCCGAAATATGACACACCGTCGAAGGAGAAAAGGAAGAAGCACCGTCTGTAGTTCAAAGGGGTGCTTTGAAGTCCTTCTGCTCAGCTTCCGAAGGCGCTCCCCGAGAGCTGCCTCTTCCCAACGCCGGTCTGAGATGCTTTGCTGCTCAAACCAGAGCCCCAAATGAGTTTCTCCTTCCTCTGCCAACACGTTATATTTAAAACGGTTTCCCCGAAGCGATCCGATTTCCTGCCTTCCTCGGCCTGCTGTGAAGTAGGGCCAGCCCAAGTCATTGTCTGGAAGGTGTGCTCAACGGTGACTTTTGCCTTCCCTCCTTTTGATTTTGAGTGTGCACGGGTGGAAAGCAGGGGCATTGCTGGATTTGGGAGAGCAGAGCTAACGCAGCCTGTGTTTTGTGAAAATCCTTTTGCTTCTTTTTCAAAGGACTGAAATCTGTTTTCTTGACTGCTTTGAACAGTGGCTTTCAAATTGTGTTTCAGGAGTGCTTTGGAAATTCAGCAAGATCTCTTCAATAAGAGCAGAGAATCTTGGCTGAAAAGTGGCTTTCCCACCACGAGGGCCTCCCCCATGCACAAAGGGGCGCATTGATTGGGTTGTGTTTGTGTAGGCTAACACCAAGTCTTGGCCAATGTCCTGGCACCAGTGGAGTGATGCCATAGAATAGTGCGCCTCTTGAGTCTTTGCAGTCCATGGGAACGGCCATCAGGGTGATGGGAAAGGAGGTGTCTGAAAGGATGAGGTGTTAAAGGTTCTTCACATCCCAAACCCTTTCAGACCATGGGAACACGAGAAGAGTCCTGCTGGATTGGACTAAAGACCTATATCACCCAGCATCTCGCTTCATGCGGTGGACAACCTGTTGTCTACTAGAAGCCCACCAGCAAAACATGGGTGCAACTCAGCGCATGGAAAGATTTGGACTACATCTGCAAGGTGTGAGTCATCAGTAGTTTAGTTGGCTTGAGGTTTCTGGGAACTGTAGAACAAGAAAGGAACTTCCGGAACTCTAAAATAAATCTGGACGATGAAGACAGCGGATGGGGGAAATGGATTAATTTGAAATGTTCTGCTGGAGGAAAACTTGGCAGATACCTTGGACCCACCAGAAAGACAAAAAATGTGGGTCCTAGATCAAATCAAGCTGGAACTTTCTTTAGAAGTGAAAAAAATGACAAAACTGAGGCTGCCCTACTTTGGGCACATCGTAAGAAGGCAAGAGTCTCTGTAAAAGACAATAATGCTGGGAAAAGTGGAAAGCAGCAGGAAAAGAGGGAGACCAAATGGCAGATGGACTCACTCTAGGGAAGGAGCCCCACAGCTTTGAGTTCACAACAGCTGGGCAGGGCCATTGAGGACGGGACATTTTGGAGGTCACTCATTCATAGGGCCACCATAAATCATAGGCAACTTGATGGCTCAGAACCACAACAACAACACAACCCTACACACATATCAGCCAAGTGAGCAGGGTTGGGGGGGGGATGTCTGTCCTTCCAGGTGATGTTCCCAGCAGCAATAGTTAGCCTGGCCAGTGATGAGACATGATGGGACTCGTAGTCCCTCCATCTCTGGAGCAGAAGACCTTGTACCAGCTGCTCAGCCCTTTCCCATCCACGGCAATCAGATCCTATCTTTCTCGCTCAGGGGGAAAGGCTGTGGAGCTACATCAACTCAGCATGAATCTGGATTGGCCAAATCCAGGGCGACAGATCAGTTTTTCCACCCCCTCTCCTCGTGGCTCTGGCTGCGGTGAGCATGTCAGCAGCGTCTGTCCCTGTCATTCTGTTGCTCGGGGGGGGGAGAGAAGGGACCTTCTGGGACACTTGCGACCAGCAGAAGCTGATGGAGATCCAGCAGCAGCGAGCACCGTCCTTGCCTGTGCGCTCCACACCCCACAAGCGCGCCTGGAAGACTTCCCTCATCAGAGCCACTCCTCTTCTGCTTGAAGGGGAATCTCAAGGCACTTCGGTTAATGGGCTGGGGGGGGGGCTCCCTCACCAGAAGGGTTGTCATGGCAGGGGCGCTACGGAAGGATGAGCAAGTGGAATAAAAAGGGACACACACTATGCAGTGGCCTACATCCAGAAGGGTTGTCATGGCAGGGGCGCTACCGAAGGATGAGCAAGTGGAATAAAAAGAGACACACGCTATGCAGTGGCCTACATCACATATTGCATGTGTGTGTGTGTGTGTGTTCCTCTTCCCACCCACTGGCTGCTTGCTGCCCTGCCTCAAAGCTGAGCCATAAGTCAGGACGAAGTGGACAGTATGTAGTTAGTATTATAACTATATATGTAATCTACATGTATTTATTTGTCATAACATTTGCCCGTACATTTAAAATATACTTACAGTTTTAATGATAGGTATGCATTTAGAGGACAGCCAGCATGGTGGAGTGGATAGGGTTCTAGACCAGGAGGTCTGGCTTCAAATCCGTGCTTAGCCAGGGCAACCCACGTGGTGCGTTGGCCGTCCCCCATCGGCCTGCCACCTGAGGCCGCTCCCTAGGCTTAATGGCAGGGCTGACACCTTGTCCCCACCTTGTGACGTGTTGATCTGTTTGCTAAGAAGGCGAGGTCAAGCCATGAGTGCAAAAAAATCGCCGCCGCCTGTCTTTCCGCTGCGACAAGACGAAATCGTTTGGAGGATGGCAGACGCGTTATGGCACCTTTGGTGATTCTGATCTTTGAAGGCTGATGGATGTTGCCCTTCTCTGCTCTACGTTCCTTTTGGGATGGCCAAAGGGCTTGTGACAAATAAAGCTTGTTTCCTACTCCTGAATAATGTGACAATATCGAATTGCCTTTTAAATCCAACAGGAAAAAAAATGGGTGGCAAGAGTCAGATATTCTGGTCTCTTTGCCTCCATAGTCCAGAACAACAGAAGATGATCACGGTGCGGGTGGGGGGGGAGAGATTAGGGTCATTCCGACAGAGCTGCGACGCATACAGGAAGGGCCACGCGGTAGCACCATGTTGGCATCTCTGCCAACCTCATTTCCAGAACTGGTCCATATTCACTTATTGGTTGCATTTTTATAGTTCTCCTGATTTACTGTATTTTGAAGTCCTTCTGTTGCATTAAATTTGATAATGCTCATTATATGGTAAGCCACTCGGTGGGCCCAAAATGTCTGTTGAAGCACTCGGTTAAGGAGGCAGGGTGAAAGAGCAGCTGCCCAGCCTTTTGTACGCTCCCTTGTACGATTACGTGGGAAAACCCTGAAAAGGGTCAGCATAAGTCAGAACTGACTTGACAGTATACCATGATTGTTGGCTGGATAGCTCAGGGGGTTATTAGGTCTCTGGCTGGAGAGCCAGAGGTTGGGAGTTTGAGTCCCCCCACTGGGTGCCTTCAGGGAGAAGAGCCAGCCTAGGGAGCCTTGGGCAAGCTGCTGAACAGGGCTACTGTATGTCTGAATTGACTTAATGGCACATGAGGATGACTAAAAGCAGGTTTTAATCTTAGAAGTCTCCTGCAAGAAGCTGTTAAAATAGACCACACAACACCCCCCTACACACAAACACCAGGCTATGTTTGTTTCTCAAACTCTGCAGTCGTCCACAGTGGTTTGCATCCATTGTAGGTTTGCAAGGCGGGTGTGTGTGTGTGTGGCTTTGCTTGAGGATCTGAAGCAGGTAACAGATTCCCACGTGCAAAGAAGAGGACCCACCCTTGCCTTAAGAGAAGCAATGGCTGGGTGAATCTTTAGGATCGGTCTGTCGGCCATTTGCTAGCACAGACTGGATCCTTAAGATGCATTCGGAAGTTTCCAGGGTTTCCTGAGATAAAAAGAATGACTCTTTTTAGAAGTTTGCACCTGGGTGATGATGGTGGTGGTGGTGGTGGTGCCCATGCAGTTCTGCTGCTACTTCCTGCATGCTTCTAATTTTAATCTTGCAAAAATGCTTCTTCGTTCTCTGGCCCATAATTACATGAATCGAACGTTCTGTTTACATATTGACTGCGACGCCTAGTGCTGTCCTCTTTGGTAATTAGGTAGATGTTTATGGACAAAGGAGGATGATCAAAAAGAGCCTGTGGTAATCAGGCTGTAATTAATTATGGGGGGGGGCCTGTCTTCTTCTTCCATGCCTGACCACTGTTCTGCCTCATTAGAGAATCCTCGTCTTCCCTTCCGCCTTTAGTTCCAGGGCCCTGTGAACCTGAAGACCTCATTGATGGCATCATCTTCGCCGCCAATTACCTGGGCTCCACGCAGCTGCTTTCGGAGCGCAACCCCTCCAAAAACATCCGGATGATGCAAGCCCAGGAGGCGGTCAGCCGCGTCAAGGTAGGAGACGTTCTTGGAAGATAAGCGCCGGATCCCCGAGAGGGTTGCGTTCAGGAGAGCCAGACACATCCGTTCCTCCTCCCTCCTGCCAGCAGAGCATTTTCCTGTGGCGGGAGCGTGCTGTTCCCAGCGCCGGCCACATTTTTTCCCTTCCTTTCTTTGTAAACACCCTTACACAAGAGCAGAATAGAAATAACAAGCAGGGACCTTCCTCCTAAGCGCCTCTGAATGGTCTCGGTGGCTTAGATGCAGCAAAACCCAAGCTTGTGAAGCAGAGGGAGGGGGGAAAAAAACCTCTAGGATAAAGAGCAAAGAATTTATTTATTCCAAACAACCTCTTTTTCTCCAACCTTAAACTTCGCCTTAAACGGAGTGGTTCAACTCCTGCCCCACGGGCTCGCTAAAGTCACTGCTGGCTTAGAGCTACCAGATAAAGCTGGGCTTGAACACCCTCCCAAACTTTGTAAGCCTGCTCACTGTCTGTTATGCTGTAGGAGCATTTCTGCTAATTCTGGAGGTAAGGGGCGTGCTATTTAACATGTCCTGCAAGACGCTTCTCCCTTAAGGCAGTGCTTGCCTCGGAAGAAACAGCTGTGAACAGCCGGCCATTAGGTGTACATGCAGATGTTCTAATTTATGCAAGGCTACTAATGAGTAAGGCCGATTTAAAAAAAGTTCACTCAAACATTATGACACATGAGATCCTTCTTGTTGTCCTTGCTCTGGAAATATTTTTGCAGAAAGCCATGCTACTCAATTTCACTGTTGAAAGGATTTTTTTTTTAAAAAATGTCACTTCATACATCTGTTAGGCAGAAGGCACTTTTAATTAGTTAGATTTGCAGATGGTTAAAATTTTGGAATGGAAGATGTGTTCTGCACGTCTCGACCCAGTTGTTGTTTTGTTTTGTTTTGTTTGACCAGGGAATGACACAATTCCCAGAGGTTTAGAAATAACAGTAGGCTTTTTGGAAGGGGAAAAAATGAATTCTAGGTTCTCCAGAGAGAAGTAAAAGCATGGGAAATTATAACAGGATGCTGATTTATGTCACACTGAAACAACAGTTTTGTAGGTCAGCGTTGATATTACACTATCAGGTGAGCAGTGGATGAAAACTGCCCCTATTCTTAACTCCACCATCATTCACACAACTGGCTGTAAAAAAAGAGGACAAAGAAAGAAGGGGGGAGTCGGTTGGCAGAATTTCTGCTTAATCTCAACCATTGTGGCTTATAAGGAAGGTCACACTGGACTGTTAGAGCAGTACAACAATGGAACCAATGACTTTTGGAGTTGGTGAGCGCTCCAACGTTGGAGGCCTTCAAGAGACCATTGGACCTCCCCCTGTCACATCTGCTTTGGTTTGGATTCCTACCTTGAGTAGGGAGTGGGTCTGGGTGGCCATGTATGCTCCTTCCAACTCAGCCGTTCTGTGATTCTGTCGTTCTATGATTCTGTGACTGCCTTTGCTGCCTGCTCCTGTTTGGCAGATTTTTTTTCAGAGACGATGGGTTATGAATTTGGAAGAATTCCAAACTGGTAGCTTGACTCTTCCACAAAAATTGTGGCTTTGCGCCACCTGCCCCCTCTCGCTGGGCCTGATCTCTTTGAGCCCGATTGGCTTCTGTTGCTGAACCTGCGTCAGAACTGGGTTGATCGAGGGCTTTAAGGAAGGAGCCCATGGCAGGCAGTGAATTGCTGTGGGTTAGCCCTTGCTAAAAAGGGCAGAGCTATTTTAGTGTTTCCTCATACTCACCTGATGAGGAATCCATCAACGTCTATGTCTACTTCTGTAGGTAGCAGGTTTGAAAATCCTGAAAACTTTTCTCCAAAGATTTCCCCGACTTCACCTGATGTCTATTTTCTTCCTTTTCCCCTTTTTTCTTTCTTTCTGTGCATTTGTCTTATTTCCTTTTTATTTATCTTTTGTTGATTTTTTTTAAACGCTTCTCTCCCAGAGGATGCAAAAGGCAGCTAAAATCAAGAAAAAAGCGGTGTGTAAACTGTTTTTCTTGAATGCTAATGTCTGTTTTTCTCTCTCTCTGTTGTCCTTGTGCATCCTGAGATATTGTGTCTTTCATTGTGGATCTTCCCAAAAGCAGGATTCTTCCCCCCCCTTCTTCTTAGTCTTTTGTCTGTTTATGTTTGACTGGATGGAGAGTGTGAGAGATTATTAGATTTCTTTGGACAGTCTTTCTTTTCCTGCTTTCACCATGTAGCGTGGTTGGTATTTTTTGAAAATTCCTGATGTCGTACAGATTTCTTTCTTTCTGCCTTTGCTACTGAACGCTGGAGTATCCCAGTGTTCTGGTTTGTCCATTTCCCTTTTATTTCTGTTCATTTGCTAAGCTCAGCCAAATATTACTTTTCCCCCCTTTTGCCCAGGGTTTAGTAAAAATTCATCATTATATATATATATTTTTTGAATCACAGAAGCCTTCCACATCTTCAGCCAGCATGGCTGCGCTTTTGTGGGTTTGAGGACAGGTCACAAAAAAAAAATCATGCACATTTTTTGCACTGTGATGCCACAGTGGCATTACGGTCTCAGCAAATTGTTTCCTGGAGTGGGTGAACTTGACATTTTCTGTGAAAGCTGACCTGTTGCGGGTGCTAATTGCAACAACATCAGTTTTGCATAGAGTATTTTTTTTATAAATTATAGCTCCAAGGGCATTTTTCCCGATATAACTATGACGTCAAAGGGGGGGACTGTGACGCCACAGTGGCATTGCAGTCTCAGCAAATTGTTTCCTGGAGTGGGCGATCTTGACATTTCCTGTGAAAGCTGTCCTGTTGCAGGTGCTAATTGCAACAACATCCGTTTTGCATAGAGAATTTTTTAAATAAAATTTATAGCTCCAAGGGCATTTCCCCCCATATAAGTATGGAGTCAAAGGGGGGAAAATGTCCTCCCCCCCATTTGAGTATGATGTCAAAGCAGTAGGAAAGACAATAACGGTGGCAAAGACTGAAGGCAGCAGGAAAAGAGGAAGACCAAGTATGGGATGGAATGAACATCCGTTTTGCATAGAGAATTTTTTAAATAAAATTTATAGCTCCAAGGGCATTTCCCCCCATATAAGTATGGAGTCAAAGGGGGGAAAATGTCCTCCCCCCCATTTGAGTATGATGTCAAAGCAGTAGGAAAGACAATAACGGTGGCAAAGACTGAAGGCAGCAGGAAAAGAGGAAGACCAAGTATGGGATGGAATGATTCCCTAAAGCAGTGGTCCCCAGCCTTGGGCCTCCAGATGTTCTTGGACTTCAGCTCCCAGAATTGGACTTCAACTCCCAGAAATCCTGGCCAGCAGAGGTGGTGGTGAAGTCTTCTGGGAGTTGTAGTCCAAGAGCATCTGGAGGCCCAAGGTTGGGGACCACTGCCCTAAAGGAAGCCACAGGGTTGTGTTGGCAACTGCTGCGCAGGTCCGTTGAGGACAGGAGGTTTTGGGGATCACTCGTTCATGGGGCACATAACAAAAATGTGATGTTTAAAATAGTGGTTAGGACTTCCATTCAGAGAAGCTCCCCTAGACGTGTAGATTCCCCTTTTTTGTCGATCTTGCAGTAGGAGACTCAAAAGGCGGAACAGACTTGAGGAGTCATCTGGTTTTTCCATCTGTGATTATACGGAAAGATCAGGGACGATTAAAAAGAAATATTCCTTTTCTGTGGCTCTTTTATTTATTTTAATATTTTAATTTTTTTGCATGTTATGTGGGCACTGGCCTCTTCTGGAAAGCTGTCCGATCTTCCAGCTCCCTGTGCCATTTGCTCGTTGTGTGTCACCCTCATCTTGTCTGAAGTAGCTGTCGGAGGAAGCTGCTATCGAGAGAGAGGGGGGAAAAAAAGCATAATATTATCCCTGGGGGGCATGGTCTCTTTTTCTTCCCCAATCTGTAGAGCTCGGAGGGAGATGCCCAAGCTTTGACGGAAGTGGATCTTTTCATCTCCACCCAGAGGATCAAAGTCCTGAATGCAGATACGCAGGTAAGTGCAACCGGTTTATTGAGACTCGTCTCCCATCACGGTTCTCTCCTTCCCTGATCATTGAGATAACAAACCTCAGACGATTCGTTGATGATTCATTTATTTTTAATTGAAATATTTCTATTTTACAAAATAGCCTTGCGTAGGAGAGAAAAAAAATGGGTGATGGGGAGGGAATACTCCTTCCTGTTAACGTAAAGTTTGACTTTGAGCTGAGCACGCGGAAGGAACTAAAATGATTTCGGCAAGCACAAAGCCTAAACAGTTTGGGGCGCTGGTAGGAGCAGAATTTCATAACCGCAGAACTTTATTGCAATAAACTGCACCAAAATAGGTAAGCCAACGGACCTCAAGAGGCCGCTTCCATTCATATTCGACACACCTGGTTTTCAAAAATTCCTCCTTTCTAAAGAAATTGGAAGGCAGAAGCCTGAGTATCAAACTCTCTTCCAAAGAAATAGAAGAATGGAGTACAGACATATGTTTCCAAGTACTGTACTTCCATTTCACATGTATGCCTCATTCAAATAAAACTGGCCATTTAACATTGAGTCCTTTCGAGGAGGAAAGCAGGCTACAGATGTTTAAAATAAATAAATAAACTACATTGCATATGGAATCCTAACAACTTCCAGGACTTTTAAGGACTTCTAAGGACTGGAGATATTCTTTTCCTCCAGTAACTTCATATGAGCAACATCTTCGAGGGAGCCTACTGCATCCAAATTTTGAAGGGGAAAAAAAAAGCTTAAGGGTGACACACACCTTCCTCTTTTCTACTTTAACGTTGGTCCCGAAGTTACATATTCCTGCTTCCTTAACAAACCTGTCTGCCCAAACCGTGCCCACACGGATGCTGCTTTCGCTGGGTTCTCGTTGACTCCCTTAACACTTTTCAAATGTTTGCAAGTGTTTCTGCATACACTTGCTGTTTTATATTTTCTGTTCAAAAATCCTATCTACGGATAGATCGCTGAAGGTCGCACATCATGTTTCTAACCGGACGTTGCACAGCTGTACAGCTGCAGTCCCCCCCCCGCTGCACAATCTCTGTCCAGCCACGCACTGAAACAAAAAAAAAAAAAAGAGCAAAGAGGTAGAGAGAGAAAAGACACCGAAGGCAGGTTTGGGATGGGCTCCTAAGCTTAGAAGAGAGTAAAACCTGTAGCCCACCGTGCTTCAAGCAGACAGGACTGCTTCGTAGACTCATCAAGAATGGGAAGGCTCGGATTTTTCACATCCACACTGCGGCTTTTTAAAAGATCAGACGCCTGCAGGTTAGGGCTTTTAATCTTTCTCTTAAAAAAAAAATCTCCCGATGCACCCCTGATCAATTAGCCATGCCCTGCTCCCTGGTTGTATTGGTTTTCAAAAAGGCTGCTGTTCAAATGGTTATTAAAAGGCTGTTACCGCTAGGCAGCCTCGGGCCCGTGCTTGGTACTTAATAAAATGACAAACAGTAATAGGATCTGCTCGCTGCTGATACAAATGGATTTTCATAGTTCTTTTGCCTCTACATGTCAAGTCGTAAGTCAGATGGCGAGGCAGAGTGCAGGAGCTTAAGAGCTGGGCTACTTTGCATGCCGGCAGCAAAGGCTGAGAGCAAGATTTAAGAGGCAAAGATGGCACAACCAATTAATTCATTTCCTCTTGTGATGAATCGGAGCTGCCTTGGGCGGGCCCTCCCTGACTCTTTCAGTGCTCACTTTTCGACTTTTGCATTTTCCATGCAAGAACTGAACAGAGCTTGCTTGGTAAAGCTCTTTTGGTTGAAGTACGTAACTCCCCTCCACCTCCAGGATCTGGACGCTGGAGCCTCCAGAAGTCTCTTTTTCAAGACTAGGGAGTCTTAAAAATAACTAAAACCTGGACTAGGTCAAAGAGTCTATATTCAAAGCTATCTATAATAGTGGCCAGATTTAGGTCAGGGCAATAGAGAAGAGTGTGGTTAAGGGTTGCAGACATTCCTAGCATATTTGTCTGGAACATCCTTGTCTTATTGGACTGGTGGCCTGTGGCCAAAAACCCGCTGCATAAATTACTCCTGCAGAAGATGGTGACGCCACCAGCAGGGGAGATTTTATAGAATTAAAGACTTCCTCCTTTTGGCCCGAGGTATGTCCAACTCACAAGTAATCCATTTCATTCTCTGCAGGAAGAAGTATTTAATCACCTGGAAATCTATCTCTGCTGCTAATATCATCCAGCAGTAGCGATATTTTTGTAATTAAAGATTTCCTCCTCCTGTGCTACAGGAGCCTTGATTTCCAGGCAATGAAATGGGTGATTTGGGAGTTGGACTAACCACTGAACAGAAGGAGGAAATGTGTAATTACTGAAAATCTTCACTCAGTGGTGATGTTTGTCTTCTGGAGGCATAACTTTCACAACAGGTTTTTGACCAATGGATGCCAAATTCTGTTTAGTAGGTGGTGATTTTTAGACAATAAAGACTTCCTCCCCTCATCCCACTGCCCAAAAGGCTTCTCAACCACAGCATGCTGAATGTGTGTTTTTTTGGACATATATGGCAAACAATCCCCGTTGTAAGATCTGATGATTAGTTACTGTCTCTCCATTTTTCTTGGTCCAATGATTTAAACAATGTGCATAGCAGAAACAGGATTTGCATCACTCAACTCTCATGGGGCACCCCCTTGATTGCCTTGCCCCCTTTTCTTGCTCTAGGAGACCATGATGGACCATGCGCTGCGCACTATCTCCTACATCGCTGATATTGGCAATATTGTTGTTTTGATGGCAAGGCGTCGTATGCCCCGGTCGGCTTCCCAGGACTGCATCGAGACCACTCCTGGGGCACAAGAAGGAAAAAAGCAATACAAGATGATTTGTCACGTCTTTGAGTCCGAGGACGTAAGTGAGAGACATGCATAATTTAGCGACCGTGCATGACTGAAGCTTTTGCTTGGTTAATCCTTTTGGAGATTCAGAGGGAGCTCACGTGCTTGCTGTTCTGCCTTCCCCATAAACTGCGCTCTTTTAATCCACTTGGAATTCCCACCCTTTTCTCTCCCACTCCCTTAAACTCAGTCATACCTCCCTCTCCATGTGCTCCAATGTTTAATAATTCAGCTCCCTCTTTTAAGGTCTTTTAAACCAGTCTATGACCTAAAATGACATCGATTGGAGCACGGATTGGAGGTGGGAGTCTTTCGATGCGATTTCAAAACTTCATTACGCTGCAGGATAAGGCCAAAGGTGTGGAAATGGGAAGAGACTGAAACAGACTATCAGAGTTCTTGAGGCTACAGTGTGAATCACCAGGCAGTGAATCTGGTCCTGGTTTCCCAGCTAATCTAAACCTGAAATGCTGGATCTTATCACTAAAACAGCTTTCAGCACCTCGGATAGCTCCTGTAAAGTTAAGAGTAAAACCTGGAGTGGATTTACCACCCCTGCAGCATTGGTGTCACCTGCCTATGCTGCAGAAGGGGTCCTCTTGGAACTCTTCCTGCCACCAGCTAAGGATTAGGAGAGGTTGTTCAACATCTCAGAATCATAAAACCCACACAAGAGCTAGGAAACCATCAAGCCGTGATATCACGGGGAAGGGAAATTCCCAGAAGGGGCAGATTTGTCCCCAAGGAGGAAGGACTGGGTTTGGATTCCTAAAACATAAACCAAACCAAACCATGGCCTAGGCCAGGGGTTCTCCACCATGGGTCCCCAGATGTCCTTGAAGTGAAACTCCCAGGATCTTTCACCTCTAGCTGTACCGGCCAGGATTTCTGGGAGTTGAAGTCCAAGAACATCTGGGGATGCAAGGTCGGGAACCACTGGCCTAGATTCATCCAGGCTGTTAAGTCATGCTGTCTTTGTGTCTCTTGAGGTCTTTATGGAAGATCCTGCTCTTCCGTTTCTCAGAGTGTTTGTGTATTTGTAGCAGTTTCGTTCTCCTTTAACTGTTGCGGTTCCATGGGGTTAGAATTGGTAGCACCACTCCCTGAACACCTCACTTCCTTTGAAAACTCTATTAGGGTCCCTATAAGTCAATTCTGACTTGATGCCCATAACAGCAACAGCAACAAGCGACAATTAGAATCTGCTAGAGCAATCTACTTGCTTCCTGGGAACTATCACAAAGGATTGTAGCATTGGGTAGAGTCGTGGCCATTAAAATGGTACTGAATTGGTGGTAAACATGTAGTGTAGACGTCCTCTCTGTATGGCCAAGTATTCTAGTGATTCATTAAAAGCCTGGACCGCATTATTGTAATGAATGTTTTCGTAGATTCCTGGAAGGCATTTGTGCAAAAGAATTGCAACCCGAAAGGAAGACCCGTGTGGGATCAGGCTGATCCAGTACGGTAGATCCCGCAGTAACCAACCAGCCACATCCAAGAAATACACAAGTAGAGCAGAAAAGCAGTCATCTTGACCCCCTGGCTGCTCTCCTGTAAATGGCATTCAGAGCCGTAGAGCAGGTTCTCATTAAATCACTAGGTCTTGGAGATAGCACATAACAAGCAACACCGTTACTTGTAACACATTATCTTTGTAGTTGGCAAGGACAGAAACTTAAATCACATAAAATGTACTGCTAGCTTGCTTGCTTCTAGGCAAGTGGGATCAGGAGAGTTACTGGCCAAGGCGAAGTGCCTCATAGGTGTAAAATGGTTATCTCATGCCCTCCACGTGCATTTCTCTACTATTTCCACAAATCCCCCACTATATGAAAGCTGTAAGCCAACACCTCTGGAGGCCTGAAGGGCCCAAATCTGGGAAAGCATCTTTAGTCAACTCAGCCTCCTTTCTGAGCACTCCTGTCAGTCTGGCCTCTGGGGTAGCCCTCAGAGGGCTTTTTCTCCAAGCCCAGAGTCAGGCGGATGTAAAGTGCACTGAATGTAGGTGTCGGATTGGTACTCCTCTCTTTGCTCCTTCCTGCTTCTCCCTCAGGCTCAGCTGATTGCCCAGTCGATCGGCCAAGCCTTCAGCGTGGCCTACCAGGAATTCCTCCGAGCCAACGGCATAAACCCAGAGGATCTCAGCCAGAAGGAATACAGCGACATCATCAACACCCAGGAGATGTATAATGACGATCTTATCCATTTCTCCAACTCGGAGAACTGCAAGGAGGTGATTTTCTTTTTTCTCATTTCATGTTTGATTAATTTATTTTAATGGGCCTTTTGAAACTCTTTCCCCCCCACTGCTTACAAGTAATATTCATGCTGTGAACTCATGTGGAGTTTTGAGAGTGCAAACATATTTTAAAGCGTATACAACAGGAGCATAACATTAACCCTGCTGAGCCATTTGGGATGTTGTGTTGCTGCTGCTGTTCTATTACGTCGGTTGAGTTGAGCTCTTTGCATTCCAGACGGCTTAATCTACCCCTTCCAATCAGCCCCAACATAGCCAGTGGTCAGGAATTATAAATAGTGTCGTCTGAGACATCTCGAGAACACCAGGTTGAAGAAGGCTGGAGTCATCCTCTCATCCGTCTGAAGTCCTCCTGCACTGCGGCCACCACACTGCTGGCATGGTGACTCCATGGCCGTCCTTATGGATGGGGCTTTATTTGGGTTGGCCCCCTTTTGTATAATTCCCTTTTGTTCCAGACCTGGGGGTCCTCCACACTCTTGTCTTTCAGGCATCAGCTTTGTTTCTCTTAAAAGGTCTGTGTGTACAAGCTTTTGCTGAACAGACAAGGGCCTGGTTAATCTCCAACGGTGGCTTGCTTTGACTATTTCAGCAGACGCCTCTAATGGATTGCTCTTTGATCATCACGATTCGTGATGGCCACTAGATGTTGCTGTGTGGTTGGCAGGAGGGAGGATTTCTCCGACCGGGGTATGTGCAGCTTTCAGAGATAACGGGCCCACCTTTGGCCTCACACCCTTCTGCCGGGCCTTCCTGGCTTTGTGAAAAAAAGAGAAGGGCCTGCTGGTTCCCCATAGTAAGTGAACTGGCCAGACGTGCTAGCCACGCCCCCTGTGAAAGTAGGATTGCTCAGACCAAGGCAATTTGGTGATGGAGGAAATACGGCATGAAAGTGCTAGTAGCCAGAGTGGGTGGAAATCTGCTCGCAAACTATAGGCTGCCTGCCTGCCATATACCCTCTCCTATGTTGGACAGGAGATAAGCTGAATTATTTTCATCCATGGGGCTGATGATGCTCCCGGTCAGAAACACACAAAAACCAGCACACCTATATGCACATGTATGTATGAGCGGCACCCCCAGCCCACCATCTCCACAGGCAGGCACAGAAGGGGTGCTGTTGATACTGTCTACACTTTATCTGGGCCTGGTGTATTTAGTGGCAGCTGTTTCCCCCACTTCCTTCCCTTCCACCCGGGTGTGTGATTCAGACATCCGTTTTGCATCTGCTAGCCGGGCCCCAATGACCGGGGGAGATGATGCTCTCCCTTTTTCTCTGGATCATCTGCTGGACAGCTCCGTGGTTTAGATCTCCAGCTGCAGAGCCAGAGGTTGGGAGTTTGATTCCCCCAGTTTGTCCCTTCTTGACAGGAGCAGGACTCCGTGATCCAGAGGGTCCCTTCTAGCTCTGCCGTTCACAGATGATGGTCAGCATCATCTCTAAATATCGGTAAGCCATCAGCATCGTTTTCATTCCTCTCCATTGCCGGTCGTCTCCCTTCTCCGAATTAAGCCTGTTCATTGGCTGATACGCGGAGCGAGCCCGTTGCTGCTTTGATGGCTGTCCTTTTTTTGATTTTCCTCTAGCTACCCCCTCCCCACTTCCTGCTTCATAAACGTGATTGATTTAAAGTAGAGGCTTCTCTCATGCTGTGGGTTAATCAGTGGTGAACTGAGGAAGACGGCCTGCCTGCTGAGCCTTTGCCTAGAAAATGCGTCCCCCAGGTCTTTTTTCTCTCTCTCTCTCTCTTGCCGTTTTTTAAAAAATTATCTTCTTTCTCTCTCTCTCTCTCTCTCTCTTGCCGTTTTTAAAAAATTATCTTAAAAAAAAAAACAACGGAATGAGTCGTACAGTTCTTTCAAAAGGGCTTTGGAGATGTTGTTCTGAAAGAGTCCTTTGTGATCCCCCTTTTGATTTCTGCTCTTTGTGTGGAGGAAAGCATTTTTCCCCCCAAGGTTATTACATTAGATAACCTATCATCTTTATGGCAGGCAGTTCTTGTAATCCAGAAGTCAATCAATAGAGAGCAAATAAAAAAAAATGAAACTTGAATCCTGTGGTGCATAAATAAAATCTAGAAGCAGATTGGAATAACAATTTTACTGGGCTGCCAAATAGATTTCTGTATCTCCCTGTCCATCTGCCCCGTCCTCTCCCCATCTATCGGGTCTGTCTACCAATCTCAGCTAGGCTTAGGTGGCTAGCGATCGGTTGGGTCATTCTGAATTCTTCATGATAGTAAATTTGGGGAAGAAGCAAAACAATTCAGGTTCCATCTGGGCCCAATATCCCAACTGTACTGTAGTTACTTCAGCTCCAGAATGGGGATTGCAGGCAGGTTCAGAGAGACAGGACATTATTGGGTTGCCCCTTAAAGAAGATTTGAATTGGCTACTCGGCTCCATCTCTATAGACCAACAGTTCCCAACCTTCGGTCTTCCAGGTGTTCTTGGACTACATATCCCAGGAATCCTAGCCAGCACAGCTAAATGTTAAAAGTTTCTGGGAGTTCTAGTCCAAGAACATCTGGGGACCCAAGGTTGGGAGCCACTGGTGAAGAGAAAGGTTTAGCAAGGATACAGGAAACTCTCTGTTAGCTACCTTTTAGTCAAACCACACATAGCTGATGAAGGACTCAGAAGCCCAATTTTATTTTATGTATTGTTATCATTTGGGATGTTGCCCGCTTAAGGTACCACCAAACTCTGCCAATAGACAGCAGACACTTCTTTGCAGGGGTTTAAGCACCAGGGGGTGACTTCGGCTCTGCCTTCAAGGGTCTTCTACACATTTGGAAACCACTGAGCCATAGCTAGCTTAGTGGTTTAGGTCTCCAGCTGCAGAGCCAAAGAGGTTAGGAGTTCGATTCCTCACTATGCCTCCTTGACAGGGGCTGGACTAGATGACCCATAGGGCCCCTTCCATCTCTGCAGTTCTGAGATGATGGTGGTGGTAGTTACTGTCATATCCTTCAAAGTGGTGCATGCCACTAGTCTGTTAAAACAACCACGGGGGGGGGGCAGGGGTCCTTAAAGCCGTTCACACTGGGACGAGAGGCTCAAGCGAGTTCTGTGCTAACTGGGTTGCAGTTGATTCTCCCGTTGTGGGTCTTATGAACAAGCCACTCATGGGCTTGAGGCCAGAGAGGCTGCTGGGAGTACAGGGTATTTAAAAATCTGGAAAGTCACCCTGGAGGTGAAAACTCTAAATGAGAAGTAAATGTCATCAGCCTCGCCGAGAGACAGGCGATTTTATCTCTCCCGCAGTTTGGGCTAAGCAAAGCATTTAGAGGCAAAAAAAAAAAAAAAAAAAAAACCAGCCAAGGTGACCAGGAGGCAGGCTGAAAATCAACAAACCAATTGGAAATTGGATTTTAAAAATCAACAGTGGGTGCGAGGGAAACGAGGGGCGCATAAATAAATGACAATCTGCTCAGATGCAGGAAGTGGAGGGGGGGGAGAAAGATACATTTATCAGTACAGTGTGGATACAGCTAAGGATGTTGGCACCTCTAGCTTTCCCTGCTTCCTAGGGAGGGCAATCATCTTCCTTCTAGTTTGTTTGTTGTTGTTGTTTAGAGGGAGAGGGCCTGCCAACACGCTGGTCGAAGCATGGGTTTTGCAGCCATACATCTGGAGCTCTTGAGATCCTGTTTCATGACCTTCTTCCTTTGACGGCCCTCTGCCTGTTCCCCCCCACTTTTCCGGGGGATTCAAAGAAAAAAGCAGGGATCAGGACCGGGTGGAGGGGATGGAATTGCAGCCGCTGGGAATAGAGGAGGGTAGAGGAAGTTAGCGTGTGTGTGTGTGTGTACACGCTTGTATTGGATGGGATATTTCTGTGTAGAACACCTTTATACGGTCTTTCAGGTATGTCACGTCATCCGCTTAGTGGGAGCCTGTAGCATCGAAAGAAAGAGCGCCTCGTATCCTATACTTGCAGACACAGAGTTCTAAGAGCAGCTAAGGAAATCATGTTGTGGAAAGAACAGGAGGAACTGTTCTGAAAGTTGTTTATTAAAAAACCAGAGTGCAGCTTCTCTGCAAGCAAATTTGCTGGCAGCCCTTTTCCTAACCAAGGAGGCAAAGTGCGCAGCGACACCCGTCCTGTCCGGCTCCCAGCAACTGGCAGTGGGAGGTATACTGCCTCACCCATACAAGCAGCCATTGGTGGTCCTAATCTCCATGTATTTAACCCATCTCCTTTTAGAGCTGCCTAAACCGGCCTTCGACCCCACAGTTCAACGGAGCGTAGCGTTAAATCCACACATCCCTTCTCCTCTCCTGTTTTATCTTGCAGCTGCAGTTAGCCAAACACAAGGGAGAGATTCTCGGAGTGGTGATCGTAGAATCCGGCTGGGGATCCATTTTGCCCACCGTGATCCTGGCCAACATGATGAACGGGGGGCCAGCCGCTCGCTCGGGGAAGCTGAGCATCGGGGACCAGATCATGTCGATCAATGGCACCAGTTTGGTCGGGCTTCCCCTGGCGACGTGCCAAGGGATCATCAAGGTACCGTTTCTGTTCCCTTGGCAGAGGTTTCCAAGAGTCTCATGGCAGGCCGCTTTAAAGACCAATGATGGTCATATACGTTTGTGGTCTGCAACCCACTTGTATCTCATGAGACAGTCCAAGAAAGCTTCTACAACTAGTTGTTGTTGTTCTGATGTGCCATCAAGTCATCTCCTGACCTATGGCGATCCTAGGAATGGGTGACCTCCAATATGTCCAGTCCTCAACAGCCCTGCTTAGCTCTTGTAAACTCTAGGTCATGTTTTGATTTCCCATTCCCTTCTTCTGGGGGCAGCCCTGGGGCTATGCAGCTTGCCCAAGGCCACCCAGGCTGGCTCTTCTCCCTGGAGGGACACACTCCACAGTCAGAGACCCAAACCACAGAGCTATCCAACCAGCTCCTGGATGGAATGAACCCATCTCATATTTGGCCTTCCTCTTTTCCTACCAGTTAGCCTTTAAGGAACCACAGAATTTTAGTGTTAGTGCCTTGCAGTGTAAAGAAGAAGGAGTTGCGTTGGCATCTTGAAAGCTTTCTAGTGTCCGTGCTATCGATATCAAAACAGGACTTCCCAAACGCTGAAGTGGGAGGTAGCATGAAGTTGGTGTTGGCAGTAGGGGGTCACCAGTGTCTTGCGAGAGTCTTGAATCACTTTGAACTTTACACAAGGCATCTAAGATGGCTTAACTCCTTTGTGAAAAGCAGTTCAGGACCTTGGAGAGTACCTGTAGATTTCACATGAAAACCTACAATGGAATCACTGCCCATGAATCACTAGATGCCCCTCATTTGCAGAAAGGATCGAAACATCCTTGGAGAGAAGAGAATTATCATGGGCAGTGCAGTCATGATCAAGTATTGTGTTGACTTCCTGATTGGGGGAGAAATGGAAAACCAGGACTGGAGAAGGGAGGCATGGAATAGTGTTGGTAAGAGGGGGACACACATAAATGTAAAACATAGGGAGAACCATCATATTGTGTGGATATTTGTCACAGAATAAGGAAAGCAGGAAAACTGGCACAAGGAGGGTGAGGAAAGGAAGTGGAAAGGTTAGGATCCTGAACAGGCAAGCCTCCACACACCACCATTGTCTTGAAGGCTACCGCCTTCAGTTATAACATCGGTCTAGTGCTGTGTCTCTGACTGACAGTAAATGAAGCTGACAGAATGATTAAATGGGTTTTCAGACGGCGAAGCTGATGCATTCCCTGCCATGGCCTTGCTGTTTATCTAGAAGGTGCACCATTTACAAATTGTTTACAGCTCAGCTGCTCTTTGACATTCAGGCTGACCGCAACTGCGTGGACATAAAACCCTAGAACAGTAGGATCAAATACTCCCAACACAACACACATGGAGCATGTCAAAGTGTCTCCAGGGTAAGGGGGCCACACAGCTTCCTTGCGAACCTGAACATGGAATTAAAAATGTACACATTTGGTAAGAAGCTACTTCAGGTAGATTGTTGTCCAACAGTGGCTTTGTCTGAGTGCAAATCACTTCCCATGCTCCTGGTTCACGAGCTGGGTGTCCAATCTCTCTGCTCGCTGTCATCTACTGCAACTTTCTCCACCATTTCTTCTTCTATTCCTGAGGGTCTCCCAGCTGTCATGGAACGATATTTTGGGGTAGACTGGGTTTTAGCTGTGTTGTGAGGTTACTCTCAGAAGTCCTTTTGTGCTAAGGTGCACTGGAGAGTGTCTGGACTAAAACCAACTGAGGCCATCTGGTGTCTATATGTACGTTTGTGTGCATGCAGATCTTAAATATAATAAATTAATATTCATTTTGTTGTCCGTTCCATTAACATTGTCAACAACAAGTTTAATCTTTTTTTTTAAAGCAACACTTAACATTTTTTTGTAGCTGTTATTTATCACTGGTTATGTTTCGTAATTTTGAGTGACATTTTTGCATTAAATATTCAAGGAATTCATCAATAGGTGCATGAACAAATGACTTTTATAGAACAGTTTCCAGTGTTAATGAATACATTTTCCTTGACAAGTTGGATTTAACATTAGCATGTCAGAGCTAACCTTAACATTTTCAAAGCTCTCTCTCTCTCTCTCTCTCTCTCTCTCTCTCTCTCTCTCTCTGTGTGTGTGTGTGTGTGTGTTCTTATGCAAAGGGATTGAAATAAAGAGATATTATGTTTAGCCTGGCCCTAAACATACTCTTCCATGTAGCCCTCGGGGCAAAAATGTGCCCTCTCCCCCTTCTAAGGCCAAGCCATACTTGAATACAACCCAACGTTCAATAGCCCAAGATGCTGCTGTAGCTTGTTGGTGATGAATATATATTGATTAACGGGGATTTCTTGCAGGGTCTTAAGAATCAGACGCAAGTGAAGTTGAACATCGTCAGCTGCCCACCGGTTACTACCGTCCTTATCAAGCGACCTGATTTGAAATATCAGTTGGGCTTCAGCGTCCAAAATGGAATTGTAAGTTCACTCTTTCTTCTCAGTGTTTGTCAACCATGGAGATTGAATTGGGGAAAAAAAACAGAGGTAGGAAATGTTTGTTATTTTGGACTATAACTCTCAGAATCCAAGTCATTATCAGAAAAATGAACCTTTTTCCACCTCGGAGTCGAGACGGGAGAAAGTTTTTATCTTGAGCAAAACAGCGGGAAGACCACTGCCATGGGAGCTAATTATTGGTAATTGTCTGCTCCAGTAGCATTTCCACTTGGTGGGAAAGAGGACGGGCGGAAACCCTTCTTGGAAGGTTCAGTGGGCAGAAGGTGGGGTGCAAAGTTTCCTCAATCTAGGCCATTCAGCCTGGACCCTGAAATTCCCTAGAACAAAATAAAGGCTAGGACCCTTCTCATTATTTCCATCCAAGCCCAGAGAGTTCCCACAGGAGAGTCTGCTCTGCAGAGACTGGATAAGGTGCTTGTTGTCCTCTTCCGATGGCTGCAGCAGCAGCTTCTGCAGTTGGAATTCAGCAGGCATGTGCTCCACTGGGTTGCAAATTTGCGCTGCACGGACAATATCAAGCGTTGTGTCTCTACATTGCTTCCGAATGTTTTCCCCACCATAAAGCGATTTTCTGTTCAACTGTACTTTGGTACCATCTAGTGGCTACTAGAAACATTCACAGTTGGGAAAAGCACCCACCGTCTTGCAAGTCGGTTTCATGATCTAATACAGGACCCCCACCATAAAGCGATTTTCTGTTCAACTGTACTTTGGTACCATCTAGTGGCTACTAGAAACATTCACAGTTGGGAAAAGCACCCGCCGTCTTGCAAGTCGTTTTCATGATTTCATGGGCAACTTGGAACATTCTAGACACTTACGGGTTACCGCTTCCATTTTCCTTCACTAGGAGCAGTGCTGGCAAACCCTATTCTCTCCCTGACACACTTAGGCTAATGTCACAAATGGGGGATGCGTTTACTATTCCTTTATTTATTTGATTGTGTTTTTAAATTCACCCATTCACATTGTCTACTTCATGCACTGGCTAGTTTTGAGAGCCGAGCGTGGAGTCTTGGTATGCATCCTAGAGAAGTCCAAAGCAATGCTTTGATTGTGTTTTTAAATTCACCCATTCACATTTTAAGAGGAATGCACTGGTTTTTGTCTACTTCATGCATTGGCTAGTTTTGAGAGCCGAGCGCGGAGTCTTGATATGCATTCCAGAGAAGTCCAAAGCAATGCTTTCTCGTTCTTGGTCTAGCCCTACTCAAGCATTAGGGTAGCCCAGTTTAAACCGGTTCATGTGAGGAAGGGTGTGTGTGAACGCCACCCCCTATTGCCTCTCTCCAGATATGAAAAGACAGTCATGTGTGGAAGCCCTTTGTGTGCGCCTCAAGCATTAGGGTAGCCCAGTTTAAACCAGTTCATGTGAGGAAAGGTGTGTGTGAATGCCACCCCCATTGCCTCTCTCCAGATATGAAAAGACATTCATGTGTGGAAGCCCTTTGTGTGCGTGACTTATGGTTCCTAGAGAAGAAAGACGCTCTTGTCTTCAGAATGCCGCTGTCCGTCTGGGGAGGGCATCAGCGGCAGGCACACATCCTTGTATGTTGACTGGAACTAGGTCACATCATGCTTAAAGTAGGGTAGTTTTGCAAGGAACATTGGTACACCTGCCCTGGATCACACAGAGAGAGACACGTCCATAAGTTGCAAAGATTTGGGGCCTACTTAGAATATAAGTTGTAGTTCCTGAAAACTATGCAAGGGTGAACCATTTGTGATTTTTTTCTGATGGACTGTTAACTCCCATCACCCTTGGCCCACACAGCCCAAAAACATGTGATGGGCCACCTCAGTGTAGACCATAGGCCGATGTTCATCATTGCATTACGGCCCTCGTCCCTACCCACAGAGGCCACGTGGGCAGACATTGGTGCTAGAGATGCCGGGGAAAATGTACTGCCCTCAGGATGATACATCATCTTTGGAAGCTTCATAACACTCACTTGTGAGGAAAGACCAATGTCCGAAGGGTGTCAATTCTTCTCCAGTTTCGGTTTTACACCCAAGCCGGATGGTTCTTCCTGCTTTATCGCGGATTGAGCCAGCTCTAAGATAGCTAGTGGAGAACTAGCCAAAAAAAATTAAATAGTGGAGCTAAACAGTCTTGTTCCTTTTCATCCCCCAGTCATTTTTCTGGACAGAAACCTCCTTACAGAAATCAGTGGAGGCATCCGGGGGTTTCTAGGGCATTTGGAAAAAACTGTCCCCCAGTTTTGGTGTGGAAATAAAATTGCCAATGATCTATTATGAAAACAAGATGTGACATGATTAAGGCCTCGGTTTAAGCCTGCATGGATAGGTTTCTTCTACGCCGTCATCATACCTTCTGGTCTCTCTGTACCACACGGGCCCATTTCACGATCGGTTGGGAGGAGTCTTAGCGAGGCGGAGTTCTCCTCATTGGAGACATCTGGGTCCCTTTGAAACACCAAACCTCCTGGCCAGGGGCTTTCTTGACTATAAACTTTTGACCCAGGGTGTTGTTTCTGCTCTCCTTGATATCTGTGACAAGCCTACAAGCCAGCAGCGGCTTAGATAGGAAGAGAAATCTCGACAGGAAAGCTTGGGGCACTTCCTCATAGACAGCCAGCTGTGTTCATCTCACATCTGTGAGCTGTAGCTGAATCCGGCCTCCCCAGGCTTCGGCTTGACAGGCCGGCATTTGTCATCTCCAGCTGCTGCTTTTGCATGGCTGCCTTTAGTTGACCTGGAAGTAATTGGGGACGGCAGCGGCTTGGCCTAAAGAACAGGGATTGTCCTGACTCAGAAGGTTCACGCCAAGTCCCTCAGCCTAGAAACGTGGTAGAATATACCAGATGGGCGGGATATAAATCGAACAAATAAATAAAATAAATAAACGTTCCTTGCTAGATCTATGGAACTGAGACAAGGTATTCCAGCACCCAATTGAAAGGAGGGAGAAACAGAGGTTGCATTTCAGTGTCATACCAAACCACTGCGGCGTATTCTCCACGTGGCTGCTCTTAGCTCACTTACACCCAGTTTGTAGCTGATTCAGGCTCCTGGGTATTTGCATCTTTCCTCTGCTTTCCTTAGGAAAGCCGCCTTAGAAGCCCTCTAAAACCTAGTAGGTGTCACTGACAAGGATGAGGTTTTAGGAGGTCCAGATATGGCCGGTGCAAGAATTCTGCACTGGACAGTCTGTCCGTTTCCTTGGGCTGGCTTTGCCCCAGAGGCACTCGGCTCCATCTCTTCTGTGGCTGGACGCCAAGATGGTGGCGTGTTCGTTTCCCGATCTGCTACAGGTCTGTTCCGTACCTCTGAAGGACATTTCTTTGTAAGGAAAAAAAGGAGGAGGGATCCCCATACTGGGAGTTTTTTTAAGAATGTATGTGCTAGAGGCAAGACTATATAGGGTGGCTAAGTGGGGTATTTTTATAGAAACAGAAGACTGTTTAAAGAGAGAGAAAGTTACTTTCAGAGCAACCATTTCTGCTGTGTGCTATAGCTGGCCCTCCAGCTATACCAAAGTTACATGGTGAAAGGTAGGGTAAAACTGCAGTGTGTTTTCGGAGCAATGAGGCTGGGTTCAAAGTATACTCACTGCATCCAGTCCAAACTAGGGAGTGGACCAGTCCGTGTCTGGTCGTGCAAGTTTTGCATGTATCCAGTGTCAAATCTGTTCAATTCCTACACCAGATGGTGATTTTCTTTCTTTACGACCAAGCATCAGTATTTGTTTTCATATGCACGTTTCCCTAGTTTTGCACGGTTTTGTTAGCGACTTTCCCAAATATCTGCAATTTTTTAAAAAAAACTTTTTGAGCCAAAAGACACACATCTGTGTTCGGAGACATTGCAATCCAAAATTCAACCATCTTCCAAACCACATCTTAATCCAGTGATTATGGATTAATTTGGTTCATTTAAGATGGTCTGCTGAATAAAATTGTTCTCCAGCCAGCAAATTTGCTTGCTATTTGCGGTGAGGTCCAAAACCACTTCCGTACAATACCCGAGGTATCCAGCTGATGATTGGCTGTCCTTGGAAAACCTTCAAGTTTGTACTTGAAGGAGACGCTTTAGCTCTAGAACAGGCCACCAAATTGTTGGGGTTGGGGGGGGAGAAGGATGAATGTCAGTTTGTTGGGTGTTTCTCGGAAGTGAAGTCTAAAAAGGAAATTTTGCATAGCTGGGGGAGGCATCTTGCACTCCTTACTGTTTATCATTTCCTTGGGAGCTGCTACTTCCTGATTCTCTCTTTCTTCTCCATCACCCTGTAATATTTCTGGCTATCACTGCATAGCACTGTTCAGTAATTTATTTGTTTTATCCATTTAAGATATTTATAGGCTGCCTTTCTCAGGTTGTCCTCAGGTCAACCCAAGACAAAAAGACCAAATAGGTCTGGGGATGCTCGTATATGGGGTCATGAAGAGTCGGACACGACTTAACGACTGAACAACGAATGCTTTCTATAGCGCTGACATGCAAAAGATTGAGTAGAAGACACGTCAGGATCTACTGACCCATCTTTAGTGGATTTTCAGTAACTCCAACCTGTGGACTCTAAACTGTATAAACCGTGGTGTTAGCTAGGAAGTATTTTCTGTCTGAATTAAATTACTGATACCTAGTGGTTGAGGGAGGGAGCTCCCGTCGCTTGTCCCAGCTCCTGCCAGCCTAGCAGTTCGAAAGCATGTAAAAATGCGAGTCAATAAATAGGTGCCACCTTAAATAGGTACCACCTTGGTGGGAAGGTAACGGCGCTCCGTGCTTAGTCACGCTGGCCACGTGACCAGGGAAACAGTCTTCAGACCAACGCTGGCTCTACGACTTGGAAACAGGAATGAGTGCCGCGCCCTAGAGTTGGACACAACTGGACTAAATGTCAAGGGGAACCTTTACCCTTACAGTGGTCCAGGAGCAAACCACAACTGGTTCCAAGTGACACTTTAACCCTGGCATCATCCTGCCTCATTAATTGTTATTTTAAGGGAACTTGGTTCAACGCTATCTCCCACTCTTAACACTCCCTTGCCAAATAAATAAATGGAGCCACACTTGACCTTCCTGTTGTCTTGACGCACAGCTACGATGTCAGAGTTGAGTCTTTCTTCCTCTTCCTCTTCTAATTGAATGCCGATCTCTCTCAACAGATCTGCAGCTTGATGAGGGGGGGCATAGCCGAGAGAGGGGGGGTCAGGGTGGGCCATCGCATCATCGAGATCAACGGTCAAAGCGTCGTCGCGACGGCTCATGAGAAGATCGTGCAGGCGTTGTCCAACTCGGTGGGAGAGGTGAGTCTTCCCAAGTGGGATTTTTTTTTAAAAAATAAAGAATTATAAAGCAACTGTAAGAGACGTGAGATATTCTCGGAATCCCTTTGTCGGAGAGAGAAAAGAAACCTCATTAATTCACACTCAAGAGAGCTCACAAGAAGAGAACAGATCAGGCAGAAAAAAATGAACAATAAAGACGTCAAAAGCATTCCGACATCCGAAAGACCCACTGCTGTATTTTAATGTGAGCTTTCGCAAAGAAGTCCACTTCCTCGGACAGTAAGTGAGCAGTAATCAAAATACAGCCACGGTGGCTTTGGGTCTCATTTTATTCAAGGGTGCCCAGAAAGGTTTGCAATGGAGTGTTTGAGTGTTTTGTTGTTGTTGCTTTGAATCATGACTCTGCTCGCTTTTCATTCTCTTCCGGACAGATCCATATGAAGACCATGCCGGCTGCCATGTTCAGGCTGCTCACCGGGCAGGAGACCCCGCTGTACATCTAACGCAAGGCTGCCTCCCGCCCCCCAAAAGACTGACCGATTCCACCCATGCAACAACCTTCAAGAGGAATTTTATATTTCATAGGAACAGAAAAAAGGTTTGAAAACTCAAGTTTGGGACAGTCTGGAAACTCAAAAAGGATCCAGCTTCTTTGCCTTTCTTTCCCCCCTCCCTTAATTTTTCTCTTTTTTAAGGATTTTGTTGCCAAAAGAGGAAGCTGTTATTTTGGACTGTAACCACTGACACCATCTTTCTAATGGACTGAAGTATTTTATAACATCATCCCTCTCTCTCTCTCTCTCTCATGTGGATGTTGACCAGCATAAGGCGAGAGTCCACCCTGCCAGGTTGTTGTTTTTGGTCCCCCTTGGTGGCAGGGAGGCCCACACGGTTCGGCTTATCTCCCAGTACCAACCTTACCGCAGCCTGTCCAAGGGTAGGTCTGGCACTTTTGGAAAAGAGAGCAGCCGGGGAGGATGGGGAGCAAAGGGGCTTACAGAACGCAGGCACTTTTAAAAACAGCGAGTGCTTAAAATCCTCGTGTTTTGAAAAAAGCCGTAGAAAAGGCGGACGTGTTTTGAAATGACCAAGAATGTATGCAATTTTAAGGGCTGGGTGGGCGCGGGTGGGGAGGAAATGTTTGACGCTAATCAAAAGAGGGAAAGAGAAAAAGATACTGTCGTCATTAGTATTCTTATTGACAAGTGTAATTAACGTGAGTTTTTGAGGAGATGTGACTTTAAGTGTGAAACCAGGAACAAGGGGATGGGGTGGGGTGGGCGGACGGGGAAGAAATAAAAGGTTTTTTTAAAAAAACAAAAACAGTAAGCATAATATGAACTCTGAATATTTATTTAGATGAGCTATGTTTATGTTTTGAAGAATGAAGGTTTTTAATGACCAAACTTTAATGTCCCTTCAGCCTGTAAGCACTATTCCAATAAGATTCTGGGTTTCAGTATCTCGCGACCTTCCATTTCACCCTTGGGTTGAACATGAGTTGACTACGAGAAAGCCATGCTTAAAAATAGCAAATTTTTTATATAACGTTTAATCTTGTTTCATTCGTTTGTTTGTTTTTTTCTGAGCCAATACGTGGACTGAATGTAAACCGTGGCAGCGAATGAGGACATAATCACCCTCAACAGTATTAGAATTTGTGGCAATGATAAACCAAGTTATAGTAACGTTGTGTTCATTATGAGATAAATGTCAAATGATGTAACTTTTTTTGTCTTGCATTTCTTTTTCTTTTTTTTTTGTCCTCCTCTCTCTACTTTTGGCCAAGGCCTTGAAGGAAAAAAAATAAAAATACACTGTGACTAAAGAAGCCTTACCATGCAGTAACAAAAAGCTTTAGGATGACTGTACTTCAAGGAGTAATACCGCCGTAGCTCTCTGTTGCATGCAGGTGACCCTAGGAGGGAATTAATCTAGACTCACTAATAAATTTGGCGTAATAAAGCACTGCGGCTCCTCTCAATTTTGTTTCACCTTTTTTTTTGCAAAGGTGTTCAGGGAGATCACATGGAAGAAATGCCTTTTGGTTCAGATGATGCTTCCTAAATACCAAAAAAGAGCTGTAGTCCAAAAAAAAAGCAACTTTTCCCCAGGCCTGGCAGTGCCGTACCATTTAGCTCGGCTCAAGATCCGTCTCTTTCAAAGAGACTTGGGTGAGGCCGTCACCGAGGGCCTGGCGTCGAATCCGGACACCTTTGCTCAGTCTTGAAACGCCACTGCGGTGAATCTAACGGCTCACCATTTATCTTCCCCTCCGGAATTTGGTCCTGCAGACGTTCAGAGAGCCCGTTGTGTAGAGTTCAGTCTCCTTGGCTTCCGCTAGAGGTCATTGCAGATTCACAGGAACAGAAGTAAGTGAAGCGTGTGTGTCCTGAAAACTGCCAGGTTGGGGCGCTGGCGTTCTCAACCGCCGCTTGTCCCTGCGCATCCTTGAAGCTGCTGCCAGAGGCTGGAGGGCGAAAGAGACGCAACAGCTAAGGTGACGTTTCTTACTAAACACGTTTCTGTCGGAGATGTCGGCTTCCCCTCTGCCTTACAGTAGCTCTACGAATCAGTGACTTCCCAAAGTAACAACGCTGATGAGATCCGTCAGAAGCTGTGGCTTCTTTGTTGAGAGGATGTATCTTCTTACGTAGTCTTTTTCTGATGCTTTCCACTTTCCCCAGAAATATTGTCTTCTCCAGTGAGTCTTGGCGTGCACCAAGTATGAAAGATTCAGTATACACTTTCCCCAGAAATATTGTCTTCTCCAGCGAGTCTTGCCTTCTTGTGGTATGCACCAAGTACGAAAGATTCAGTATCGGCATCTTCATGCCCAAGAGGGTTTGGGCTTGATTTGATTGAGTGCCTCTTCATTTTTCGAATCCAGCTTGAATATAAGATATGTCTCACTCCATATAGGGTAAAAAAAAAAATCTTTGTTGCAAAACCTTGAGCATCAATTTGCTTCCGTGGGAGAGTCATGCAATGGTCCCAGAGTTACTGCACTCCTCGGCATCTCTTTCTTGGGAATTGTAATGTATATTGAACATTTCCAGTCTGTGGGGCATTGTTTTGTTTTCCATATTTGTTGGCATATTCTTGTTAGGATTTTGATAGTCTCTCTAGATTGGAACAGTTTTGTTAGTATCCCATTGACTCCTGGTGATCCGGTGTTTCACCAATTTTCCTTCTCTCTCCATCCGATGTTAGTATCCCATTGACTCCTGGTGATCCAGTGTTTCTTTCACCAATTTTCCTTCTCTCTCCATCTGAATCTAATCCAGCTTTTCATATGATACATTCTTTATACAGACTGAACAGATGGGGGAGATAAAATATACCTTTGACACTTTTGCTCATAGGAGACGATTCTGTTTCTCTCAATCAAACCTTGAGGCATACACTTTTCTTTTGAAGTGATATTCTTGTACAGCGATCCCTTGCTTTTTATGATCCACGCATGGCCACGATCCCCTTCTCTCCAGGTTCCCATAAACACTACACTACTAAATCTACACAGTTCATGAAAACCTATGCCAAACAAAACCGTGTTTTTAAAAATACCATAAGACACCTGGCTTTTTGTTTTGTTTTTTTCTTTTTCTGCAACAGATCACAAACTGTAACACAACATGTCTGGACATTTACACAGGTATCTTTTCATACTGGGGGTGGTGGGGGAACTAACAGCTCACACAAACATTTTTGCTTTCCATATCTGGCTACTCAACATTGCCCATAGTTGGTGACAGAAAACGGCACACACTTACCCTATATAGGGCAGTGGCATGTTTTAAAGTGACATGTAAGTCCTTCAAGATCAGGAAGGGACTAAAGCAGTAGATTTGCATGACGTTTCTACCAGTTTACTTTATCTACAGTGCAGAGTCAATGAATTTTTTGGGGGAGGGGTGAGAGGAGGAACTCTCACACTTCTAGTCTAATGAGAGAAGACGATGAGCCCACGAAAAAGAAGACCAGAAATGGGAATTTTCAGAATTCTTCACAGTTCATTGCATTCAGAGCAGGGGGAGGAATTCCCGCAGGGCTGGATCTACTGTTGGACAGAGTGTGGCAGCTGGATCAAGCCAGCATACCTTGGATGTTGTGAAAGGGCAGAAAACTGTGATTTAATAGTCTGTTGTTGCATTTCTACGGTTAAAGTTTGAAAGACAGATATGCTTGAGGGATTTTGTATTTACTATCCCAAAACAGCTTGGTTGGCTCTCAAAACACCTGGCTCTGGGTGAGCGAGGAGGCAGTGCTTGGCCCAATGTCAGCAGCACCGCAGCATTTTCGGTGGGCCCTGAATTCAGACACAGCTTTGAAACACCCAGCTAAATCTTAACATCTTACTCTGCCGATTTCTAGCCACAGATAATGACAGGACGTAAAGCTGGGTTTTCAAACTAGATTTGCCCCAGGCAGGTAGCGATCCCAGAATCCCAGAGCACTCCTACCTGCCTTGCAGCCACATGCTTCCAAATCTGCAGTATGGCACAGGAAGCGGAAGAAACATCCTCATGTTGCCTGGATAAGACCGTCTAGACCTTCTTCTTCCCGCATGCGCCCTTCTCTCCCTACTAAGGGGAATGGCAGCAGATTCTTCTAAGGCAATCTGTGGCTCAGAACCATCCATGGGAGAGAGGAGTCACACAACCCCACAAATGACAATTACAAAAGTATAAGCTATGTGCAAGCTCAGCCACCTACCTTGAGAGCTTCGTCGGAGGACGTAAGGCGTCTCCATCCATTCAAAGCTGTCAGGGCTATTCCGGACCCCTCCGTTGGCCTGGAGGTCATTCCATCGTTATCTTCACGGTAGTGAAAGCACAACTTTATTAACCCCTTGCCCAACCGGGAGGACCTTATTTTGGCGCTTCAGAACACGTCGCTCTGCTCAACAACTAGACAACGCCACTGTGAAAAAAGGCCAACTGTATGGATTCCCCAACCCTAACATTTCTCTTGAAACCAAGTCTTCAAGGCTACGAAAAGCAATTAAAGTAATATAAGAGGATGAACAGAAGTTCAAACAAAATCAAAGAAGAGAAGATTGAAGGGTCCGTTTTATGTCGGAGGGGCTTTTCGGCCAAGTCTGGGTACCTGGTCATTTTCTCTCTTCAGAAAACATGCTGTGGGGGCTGGGAGTGCGGAAACGCTGCTGTCAAGGGATGTACCTATTCCTAAATGTTCCGTTCCACCCTTACTTGGGGATCTTAATGGGATCTCCGGGTTGTGAACATTTCACACCAAAAGCCAGCCGCCTTTATAAATACATAATCTTCCTCAAGACAATTCCCATAAAATATAGTGTGCGGAAGGAAAGGAAGCTACCACAGATATGCCCCCACGATGCAACAATCACATGAGTGAAGTTCCTGAGGGAAGGGAAGGTTCCCAAACAAGCACTCGGAGCAAACGTCAGCCTCTAGAATGTTGTTTCAAAAGGGAGCACAACGGATGTCAACACAGGACAACCACACAGCCAAAAAACTCTGTAATCTAGACAACAAAGCTTTTTTACCCACCCCTAAAAAAAATGCACTTAGAAAAACAACAACCCATCCACTGACAGGAGAAAAACCAATCCTAGAAGATGCAAAAGCCCAGAAATACCTTTTTCTTTTATTAATAAAACACTGTTCAGCTTCAGTTAAAACACGTCTGAGGTACAGCGGAGAAAACACAACTTTTACGGTGTGTCGTAGGGTCCTCATGGTTCAGTCAAGAGAGTTGTTTTTTCCACCCCCTCCCCCTCCCTCACAAGCGTATCCCATCAAGAATGTTCGGGGGAAAAGGCTCGTTAGTGTGGGGACAATGTATGCGGTAGCCAGCGTCCTTGCTTCGCTTTATTTTTCAACTCCCCTCCCCCCTCCCGCAAAACGTGCCGCTGG